CTTGTATTATCTTCCATTTAACTCTATTAATCTTCCCAACTCTGACCAGCTTTGAATCATTGCTATTTAAAATGATCCCCACAACATGATGTTGTCACCACCATGCATTGCTACCATGTACTGCCTGAAGGTTTTGCTCTCCTCCTCACACAGGATTTTGTATATTTGCAAAATATCTACCTCTACTTTAGTGTCATCTTACCAAAGTTCTTTCTCCCACATATTTGCAGTGTGGCTGCAAGGTCATTAGGAAACCCAGGATCTTAAATATTACTTTCAGCGATGTTTTCTTTCATTTGTTCACCATAAAAACATTTAAATTATGGTTAAAAGGTGAGGAAATATGAAGTATGAGCATGAGAATATTTTTACCTTTAAAAGATGTTTCTTTAACTCCAGGAACGGTGATCAGCTTCTCTCTGGGAGCAGCAGAGAGCACTGACACTGAACATCCAACCTGTGTGCTGCTGGAAGCTGACAGCAGAGCTGTGGTGGTGACGGTGACTGTACCGTTGCTGTGGGTCACACTGCTGCTGTTGTAGTGGGAGAAGCTGAGGTTCTGCTGTAGAACAGTCAGTGTTACAGTGGGAGCAGGTCGACCTGTGGCTGAACAGGACACAACTGACCCTGGAGAAACATTCGATCTCCTGATATCAAGGATGGGATCATGCAGCTCTGGGATGAGGGAAAAAAATGGTATGCAAGATCACATTTGTGTAGAAAAGAGCCATTACAGATGTTTTGATGCTCCACAGCATGTCTCCTTTCCTCACCATAGAGTCTGAGGCAGGTCCTGCCTATCAGGGCTCCTCTAGGATAGGTGTTAAACAGACATTGGTAGCAGCCTTCATCCTCCTCCATCACCTTCCTGATCACCATGGAGCAGCTCTGAAGATCTTCACACTGAAAATCCATCTTCTCTGTCAGATCAACTTTCACTCTGTAACCATATTTCTTGGTGTAGGTGGCGAGATTATTCTGTCCATCTTGGAGGAGTTTCTGCCAGGTGATCTGGAGGACGTCTTTATCCTCAGTGAGCCGACAGCTTAGAGAGGCTTGATCACCTACTGCTGCCCACACAGTCTCCTCTGTTTCTATTAGAGCCAACTGACCTGCATTAAACATATGGGGAGAAATAGAGCCAAAACACAGTTTTCAAACACACTAAATGAAAAACAGCTTAATTATTGACACACTTCCTGCGGTCTTATTATGTCCATGCCCATCAATATATTTGCAGAAGAAGAGGAAAGCTTGTACCCATGAGAACAACATCCCAACAGAAGAGAAAACATTGATGCAGAATGAAATCATATTAGCTGGAAAGCTTGGAACGAAATGAGTCACCAAGTGGAAAAACCTCCCACCCTTCCACAGAAAGGTAGACGTTGGGATCATTCAAACTTGCCTAAACCTGCCCAGTTAGACCAGTTCTTAAAACAACAAGGAGGGAAGTTTGTTCCAAAGTTTTATTCATTAATGAGTGATATAAAGGTGTTTAACTTCTGGGACCCTAATTAATAATCTGCATGTTTAAGCTTAAAAGCAGCACAATAGGCAGCTATGTAATCACGCTAAAAGAAGGAAAGATCTGAATTAGGCCTTTGCTGCATCATGCTAATGTCTGCGTTTGTTTTTCACTAAAAATGCAACATTTTTCTCAAAAATCTTGCATGCATCATCTACACCTGCATAAACAGGCTTAAATTGGAAAGGAACATAGAATGTGCACAGGTATCTTCACATCTAAATTTACACATTCATGATCGAAACAAAAAAAAAAAAAAAACTGGTTAAAGTAGGATAAACGGCAGCTCTAATCAAAATAACAAATCTTATCTCACCTGTCTGAAGGATGAGGTTTACTAAAAAACAGCTGATTATAACAGAGGGTTGCATGTTCCTGTCCTGCATGAAGATTTGCAGCTGCACTGAAACTCAGAAAAGGTGATCTTTGCTGTTCTTCGTATCCTTTGACTCTGTTGTCGCTTGTCAAACTAGTCCTCATGAATCGTTTGACGCCTCCTGGGTCTCATAAAAGTGGGACAGGCAGATTAAACCAAATACATCAACATGATCTCTCTATTTAGAAAACAGGATAACAATAATTTATTATTCAGCTTTTCCTAAATAAAAAAATTAAAATAAAAACACCTAGACACTCATATTTTTATATCAAACAGTAGCAGTAACAGTAGCAGTTAATAAATCTCATGTTTATATGTGTTATAAACCTCAAGGATTCAACATACATGTACAGCAGGTTTGAACTAAAGTTCAAATATTAGAAGTTTTTTTATTAATGCATAGTTCATGAAATAAACCAGAAACAACAGCTTAATGGAAAACAAACAAACAAACTCATTAAAACTCTGGGGAAAATTCTGTTATTTTGTTTTAAAACTTTTTAGATTATTAGCTTTGTGTTTTGAAAGTGTTTACATCTGTGTGTTTTTGCATGATACCAAAAACGTCTTTTTACTTTATTGAGATTTATAGTAAAAGCCCAAAACAACACGGATGGAAATTAATATACTGTTTAAAACAATAGATTTACAAATGAGGAAATTAGAAAAAATTCAATCTGTTCTGTGGTTTAAGGAAAATAAAAGGCGTGGTAAATATTGCGATTTGAATTTTTATGTTAAAACTTTTTTATGACCAAAAAGGCCTGTTTTTATGTGAGAAGATTTCACTTCATTAAAAATAAGAACTCTCTTTGCTTCCTGTGACTTTAGACCTGATCGGTTAATTCTCCTAAAATGTACATCATACGTGTTGCATTCAACATCTCCTCAGTTTCCTGCCATTAATAATGAAGTAGTAGTCATGACAACGCTGAACAAAAACAGAACCTTGTTAAAACAGGAGGAGGGGGCAGCTGAGAATGAGCATCATCAGAGAATCTAAAGCAGTCTAGAATCTAATGCAAATATTTGAGTAAATAGCAAGAGAATAGGAGAAATGACACAACCTCTGAGTCACACACTGCTTTAGCTCTATTGGAATAGTTCAAGCTGTTGTGTTTTGTTAAAAATGTCTAGCAATATAAAATATGGAAGACGTGTGTGATCTTTAAGTATTGTAGTTGTTGGAAAATTATCCCAAAGGATTTAAAGTTGGCAATATATTCCAGATTAGCTAAAGAGGCTGTTTCACAAACTGTACGTCTGACCAACTTTTTGGTTTTCTGACTTTGAGGATGTTCATGGTTGTTTTTTTACAAGGTGATCTGTCATCTTTTTACCTCAGAAAAGGAAAAATCAGTGCTAACCTTACAGAAACTCCTTTTGAAACACCTGAACTATGCCTTTAAGGATGCTGTCCCACATATTTTCCAACAACAATTATGAAATATTTCAAAGGACCGATTAGTAATTGAGATGAAACTGAATAAGGATGGGTAGCAAAAAAGTTAGGGTTACAAAATATGATGAAAACATTCAGCTTTTTTAAGGAGAAGCTTTTGCTTTGGCTGAAGTGTCTATTTCTTATAAACTTTTTCATGAATTTTTATTTTTATTTTTTGCTTACATGAGCATCACCTGTAGGTAAAAAATGACATTTACAAACATGTTTTGTTTTTTTCCTGGTCGTTTTGATATAGATCCACTTGGGGTCGCTGTTTATCTATTATCTAATGATAAGGTACTTGAAACAAAACATGGAGTTGTTGTTTTTTTTTGTCTGTAAAGGTTGAGGAACTGATGTGATCAGGTTTGAAATAGAATACAACTTGAATAATTTTTGTGCAAACCCAGAAATTATCTGGAATAAAACGAGAAGAAGAAGATTAAACCGGAATAAATCCAGTTGGAATTAATTTAAATTAGGGCTTAAACTATTAAGCAAATTAATTATGATTAATAATTTACTGAAATAACCATCTACTAATTTAGTAATCGAATAATCTTTAACTGGAGCATAGAGACTCTAAGACTCTAAAACGTGCCTTTAGCTGACAGAGCGACCCAATTAGAGCAGTAATTATGCCACAATTGTTATATTTGCATTTAAGATAAAAATATTTTTCATGCGTCATCTATCCAGAACTCCTCAAGTGGAAGAGTTTTAGTTTCACCTGGTTTAATTTCACAAAAAAGTCTTCTCTAAGAAACCTTTAGCTATCCAATTATTAATCGAAAAAATAATCAACGGATTAATCAATTTGCAAAATAATCGTTAGTTGCAGCCCTAATTTAAATAGAACCTGTTAAAATGGTTAATATTCAGTTATTGAGGTTAGATAGTAATAAATGAGACCAAATGAGGTTAACATGAAAATATATAATATAAAATGAGCAGAACTTTCTTCACATCTAAAACTCAGACGTTACAGAGGAGTAAATGAATCCTGATGTATAAAGGTGTCTGTCAGGATAAAGAGAAGATCTACGAATGATTACAGGAAATGCTTCCTTCCATTGCAGCTCACACAATGATTTAACCGTCTTCCTTTGAAACAGAGCATTAGTTCAAAAAAAGGGAATAAAACATGTTTCTAAACTTTAGAGCTGCAGGTTGTTTGATTTTACAGTGAAAATGTTATAAATAAACCCTCCATGCTGCCTGAATGTTCAGGTCCCAATTTAGCAGCAACTGCAGCAGCCAATCTATTATTATTTAATGTTTTTGTTAACAATTGAACTTTATTGGAGAAATTTACATCTGCATTTAACCCATCCCCTTAGGCAACAGTGGGCTGCCATCATGGGGCGCCCGGGGAGCAGTGTGGGGCTAAGGGTCTTGCTCAGGGAGCCAGAGTGGCATGCTGTGGGAGTGGGGCTTGAACTCAGAACCTCCGAGGCCAAGCTCTATGCCCTAACACTAGGCCGCCACTCCCCTCAATTAGTGCTAGTAGGATACTTTCTGACTTTTATCTTGTTTTTCTTTTTTGGTGAGGGAATTTAAAACAGAGTCCCTATAACACTTTTATCGTAATAAAAAAGAATTAAAATAAAAATGCATTATTAAAGCTATACTCATAGAAAAATGTTGGACAAGCTTCTTTAATCCTATGAGGATTTTTTTCTTTTTAGTTTTTCATGAAAAGTAAAAGCTTCAGATGCCATGTTTTCTACATCGGGTGTTCTTGGTGTTATTGGCGGAGATTTGCTGGTTTGTCTGTTGATCAGAACACAAGTCGACTTCTCAGTTCTCTGTTGCGGCAGAATCTGTTCCTCAGTCCTTAAAATAAAAAAACAAAAAAACAAAAAACATGCTTTGTTTAAAAGACTTTTATTAAAACAAAACCTAATATTTCAAAGGACTCATTAGATGGAGTAATGTTATGTGTTTACTAGGGCTGAAAAAAAAAAAAAAAAAAAAAAAAAAAAATATATATATATATATATATATATATATATATATATATATATATATATATATATATATATATATATATATATATATATATATATATATATATATATATATATATATATATATATGTACCGGTATATATAAACATTTTGCATTTTAACTTAAAAATATGCTCTAACCAGTACTCCATGAGTGGAAAAGTTTGAGTAGTGGCAGCAATTTTCATCTGGTTTAATTTCATAAAAAGTCTTCTTTAAAGAATCCAAATATTCTAAAAAATAATTGACTGATTAATCGATTTGCTAATTAATCGTTGCAGCCCTAGGGTTAACGAATATCAGAAGCAAGTGAAAAATATGAATATGTAAACACTTTTATATCTGTGTCGCTGATAAAAAAATATTAATTGAGCAACTTACTGAATATTATTGGTTTGTTCTTCTGGTTTTTGTTCCATTGGAAGTTTCCTGTGTGAAACATGAAGGATTTAGGAAGCAGGACAAAACAAACCCACATTTGGTAAAACCTTTAAACCGTCTGATATTAGTACCTGTTCTGCTTCTTCCTTCTATGGAAGAACATGGAGAATAAAGCCGCTAGAGCTCCACACAAAAAAACTGCAAAAATTAAACTCCATCCTAGGGAGAAAAAAAGCAACAGATGTTGGAGACAAGACTGAATGAAAAAATGCTACAAAGCGTGGAGATGGACTTACGTTTAACATAATAATCAGAGTCAGAGTCTTCATTTAAACCTATACAAAAATAAAATAACAGAACAACTCAGTAAACATCAGTTATGCCTTATATTCCTTAGAATTTTCACAAATTTGTTGTTGTTGATCATTTATTTCGAACACTTAATAAAAAGCAAATATAAGTAAATTAATAAAGTCATAACAAAACAAAACAAAAAAGAAGAAAAAGAAAAAACATATGTACATACCATCATGTTCGAAAAGGAGTAGGAAGAAGTAATAAAACTTATTAAATCCTACCCCTGTTCTATATTAACATCTACCTATGTTTAAGCATACATACTATACACACACACACATACTCATAGATACCTATACATATATATATACACATACATACTTACACATACACCCGTATCTCAAACACATGCACACACACATGCATATACATACACACCCACATAACTATAGACAGTATACACATACCTCTATCTACATATACGTACACAAATATCCATACATATCCATACACCAAAAACCCTTATCTCTCACACTTTTTATTTTTATTTTTATATATATATATATATTTTATTATTTCATCTCTCTTGACTTCTTATCAATTTTAATTCATAGTGGCAAATTAAACAAGTTAGTTTATCATATGGTGATCATATGTGACAGACAAACTCAAAGTCTATCATTTATAAAGTGGCAGGACAAATAAAACCCTACGTTAGATGAGCATACATATTCAGATCATCTGAAAATCAAACATTGCCGCAGATCTTCAGTTCACTTTAGCTCAATGCTTTGACTAGACCATTCTGACACAGAAATCCTCTGGAAACTTCTACTCTAGTCTAAAGTATTTTGCAGCAAAATCCTTCTAGGATTGTCTTTAATTTAACTTCATCCCTCCTCCCATCAACTGTGGATTATAAAAATCATCTCCACAGAATGATGCTTCCACCACCATGTCTTAAAACTTGGTAACCTCAAGTATTAGCTTGCCTCTTCCCACAGGATTTTGCATGTATACTAAACCATCTCTACTGTAGTCTCATCTTACCAGATCATTCTCCCAAAGGTTTGCTTACATTGTCTCTAGGAAAAACGTGTAATTCTGCATCTTCAGTTTTTCTTCGTCCTCTAAGCCCAGATTTGTTAAGTGATGATCCATCATATGAAAACCAGGGTACATTAACTTAAGTGATAATTAAGTGATAATTACTAATTCCTTAGTAAGACACTGGCAGTAAATTACTACATACTCATCTTAATAACTTTGAAACAGTTACAAGATGTAAAAGAGTCCAAGGGTATTGATTACTACTGCAAGACGCAGTCGGTCAATGACAACAAAGTTATCCTAATAACTTCAAAACTGTTCCTCACCATCATCAGATGTTCCTTTAACTCCAGGAACGGTGATCAGCTTCTCTCTGGGAGCAGCAGAGAGCACTGACACTGAACATCCAACCTGTGTGCTGCTGGAAGCTGACAGAGAAGCTGTGGTGGTGACGGTGACTGTACCGTTGCTGTGGGTCACACTGCTGCTGTTGTAGTGGGAGAAGCTGAGGTTCTGCTGTAGAACAGTCAGTGTTACAGTGGGAGCAGGTCGACCTGTGGCTGAACAGGACACAACTGACTCTGCAGGAACATTTAATCTCCTCACATCAAGGACAGGTTCATGCAGCTCTGGTAGGAGAAAAAAGACATCTGTGATATCGAAAGATGATTATTCATCTCCTTCAGATGCTCCACAGCATGTCTCCTTTCCTCACCATAGAGTCTGAGGCAGGTCCTGCCTATCAGGGCTCCTCTAGGATAGGTGTTAAACAGACATTGGTAGCAGCCTTCATCCTCCTCCATCACCTTCCTGATCACCATGGAGCAGCTCTGAAGATCTTCACACTGAAAATCCATCTTCTCTATCAGTTCAACTTTCACTCTGTAACCATATTTCTTGGTGTAGGTGGCCAGATTCTTCTGTTCATCTCGGAGGAGTTTCTGCCAGGTGACTTGGAGGACGTCTTTATCCTCAGTGAGCTGACAGCTTAGAGAGGCTTTATCACCTACTGCTGCCCACACAGTCTCCTCTGTTTCTATTAGAGCCAAGTGAGCTAAAACAAAAATTTTCAGACTCTAAATGTTATTAAAACAGCATAAAGCAACAATCTTTTCAATGAGCATAAAGATCTCAATAGGTTCAGCTTTCATCACACATCTATTGACTGGATATATGAGGAATACTTCTTCTTAAAGCTAGTTTGATGTTTAGTTTATTTTTTTTTTTCCTCTTTGGTGTTGCTTTATTTTCTGTTTTCTACCTATATTTTTTCCGCTTTGTTTTTCTTTCTCTTTCCCTATCATCTCATGCAGGCGTAGAAGCAGACTTCTAGATGTCACTGTATATCTCCTGTGTTCGTTTATTATGCTGTTTTGTTTTTTCTCTTTTCCATCTCTCTCTCTCTCTCCCTCATTTTTATCCCCTTTCATTTTCCATTGTTGTGTGCTTTACATTCTACTGTATTCAGTAAATGCTTTTTAATAAAGTTTTATATATAAGTACAGACAGGAACCCTATGGCAACAACCATAATGGTCTGCTCATGAAAGCAAATCTGTTGGGTTATTATCTAGGTCTTTGGCTTGGAGTCATAATGTCAAAGCAGCCCACGAAAAAAGTTAAAACTGTGGTTTCTATTTTAATCAGTCAAACTGCATAAAACTTCTGATACATCAACTTTAATCAGTTATTCAAATCAAGTTATTTTTATTAATGATTGCAGTGTTGTTCATTTCTCAGATGTGTTTTTACCCTTTACAGAAACTGTAAAGACTTTAGTTATTTTGCAAATAGTGATTTTACCTGTATGCTTTAATAGCAAATTTCCTACAACACACCTGTCCCCCCCACAGTGACAGTAGAGCCAGGATTTTTCTGTTCCATTTTCATAATATTTATTCATATTCTTTGTTTTCAAATTAGCTAAAGCTTCGTCATACTGGATGGAGAGCAACTATAGATTTGGATTTTCAAGCTTTGCCACTCATTCTTAATGGACTTATCTCTGGAATGTCACTGGGCCATTGTGATACATACATTGATTTTATAATAAATCATTCAATTGTAGCTGGGGCTGAAGGCTTATTGTTGTTATCCTGCTGGAAGTTGAACCTCCACCAAAGCCCTGCTAAAAAAAGAGGAAAAAGCATACCCACAGCATGCTGCCGCCACTATGTTTCACCTTGGGGACCTGCATTACATGCAGGTTTTCCAACATCTGCATCATATGCTTTTTGAAAAGTTAGGTTTTAGTTTAATCTGCCTGGATGTCATTCATCCAGAACCATGTCTCTGTGGTTTTGCACCTGTCCCATTTTTCAGATGATCGATTGAACAAAGCTTAGATTATTGTTGTTGTCCTTGACCCTAAAGATTAGATTTTTCCCTAGCAAACAGATACAAATGAGGACCCTATTTAGTTAATTAATTAAGAAGTAAGAATTTTTACAACTTTATGAACCTTTTGCTTTGGAACAACCCACAAGATCCCAGTTCTGTATATAGAGAAAAGCTTTCACTTTCAGCAAATATAAAAACATTTCCTGTTCGAGCTTAATGTTTCCCTTTAGACAGCTCCTTCTCAGCAACTGTATTACGACAACTAAGATTAATGCATTTAAGGGATGTCTACTACAACAAACTAAATGATTAATAAAGTAATTTAATCAGATGGATCTTTCTCTCATTTATATAAAAGAGCTGGGTTTTTATCTAAGGAAGGACGGCATGTGCTTATTTCAAAGTTTTGCTTTAATGTCTTTGATTGAAGATTAACTGACTTAAGTGGTTATATAAAAAAATAAATAAATATTAAGCTATCTAGGTGTAAACAATGACTTTCTTACAAAATCGTTTCTAATCATTCGCTAGTATGCAAATATAACCTAAAACTAGTAAAAGTAGAAGATGGATGCTTATAAAACAAGCAAAGGAAATCAGCTCTCACCTGTCTGAAGGACTGTGTTTACTAAAAGATAGATGATCATGATTGCGGGTCGCTGTTTGCGCAACTTTGAAATCCAAACACACTTCCTGCTCTGTCAGAGGGATTAGAGTCACTAGGTGGAACCAAAACCCCAGCCAAAAACTCTGCAGACAG